CCTCAACAATGTTCCTATCAGAAATTCAATTCAAGTTTTACTCTTACAACCCATTTGCTGCCCCTTCATTGTATGAAAATAATGCAATTGTGGTTGTTACTGTTATTACACGCTATGGAGTCAGTTCTGACTCTTAGCGACCATGTCAGGGGGGTTTCCAAGGCTTTGAATCTTCACAGAAGCAGAAAGCCTCTGTGCAGCTGGTGGGCTTGAAACACCAACTGTGGTTCGCAGTCCAGTGCTAATCGTATGGAGACACCACACTACAGTGCAATTATGAGCTCAGCAAAATAAATTGTTTCCCCATGGTTAGTGAAGAGCCTTATAGGAATTAAATTCTGTGTTAAGCTTTGACAGTATGTTTTGTGTGTGCATGTGTGAATATGTGCGTGAGTGTGTATTGGGAAACAAAACCAAAATCAGTTACTGTGGAATCTATTACGGCTCATGGCCTCCCCTATGCATGTCACTGTAGAACTGTTGTCCATGGGTTTTCAGTGGCTGGTGTTTTGGAATTAGATACCAAGCCTTTCTTCTGAGAAGCCTCTGAGTGGACTCAAATTGTTAGACCTTTTAGGTAGAGGAATGAATTTATCAGGTTTTTTACCCCGATGTTTAAAACACTAAACTTCGAAGCTAGGAATAGCACAGGTAAGAAGACAATCATCAACAGAGCTCTCCACGCCAGGATGGTGATGGCTCAGTGGTGGAATTCTTACTTTCCATATAGGAGACCCAGCTTAGATTCCTCATGGGCAGCTACCAACCCTCTGTCAATGGAGGCTTCTGTGTTGTTATGATGCTGAACAGGTGTCAGCAGAGTGTGTTGACAAAGACAGACTAGGAAACAATGCCTGACTCTCTACTTCCAGAACCAAACAACAACAACTTTATGGCTCACAACCATCTGATCTGCAACGGATCACCAAGAAAGGTCAGTCTAGGATGGTATTTTGTTCCAATGTGCTTGGGGTCTCCATGAGTTGGGAACTGACTATAGCAGTTAACAACCACATGTATTGGGAACAGTTGAGATGAGATGGGGGGTCAGGGACTGTGAGCAAGAAGTGTTGTCTGCCTACTACTATATTTTTCTGAAAGGACAAATCACCTGAGAATCTGGAAATGTGGATTTCAGCCCTGGTTCAATTCTCAAAGATGAAAACCTGAAGGAAGTACAATCATATCCTCTTCTAGACTTCAGTTTCTCCTTCCTAACCATGTTAAACATAATATCAAGCCCTCTATTATTCACACAGGAGATTGGCAAATGTGAACAATGGAACATGCTGAAAAGTGCAAGGCATTTTCATAACCATTTTAAGATTTTTTTTTTTTTTAAGATGTGCCCCTGGGTTTCATGTGGTAGATTGTCAAAACTCTTGGAAATAGCATTTGCCCCAGTTTGAAAATTAGATAGCATAGTCCTTGGAAAGTAGCATAAAGAATAGAATCATCAAGAAAAAAACTTTTAAGAAATATGAACTTTCCTGTAGACATCCTTGCAGGGGATTTGAATCCATAATCTTCTTCAAAATGTTCCAACACTTGAACAAGGTAGGTAGGTGCTTACAACATGATTTTATAGATGAAGCTGGCCCCAAAGTTAGGGGACTTGTTCAAGGTCACCAGCTTGGCAGTAGGAAAGCCAGGATTTTAATCCATCTGCTCTGACTTTCAAGACATGTTCATCCCCTCATTTTTTGGAGGAGCATCATTTGAATCAGAAAATAAGGTCAGTCATCATGCAAGGGGGAAAGAAAAGAGGAGGGCAGAAATCAATGGTGTCTCTAGATTTGAAGACATTCACTAAAAATTAGAGTTACTGACTGATAAGCTAACATTTCAAGACACTCTAAGTCGCAATCAACTGACCAACATACAACTACTTTCAAGAGTATATATGTTAGACCATGTTAAAGTTAGATTGCATCTCCTGAGATACCTTTTTATAGTTGTTGCTTATATTTGCAATCCATAAAGATCAACTGTTGAATATCTAGAGAACTTTCAGCAATGATGGTCTCAAGGATCTGACAGTCCCGCAAATTGTACAATATAACAAATTCATTCATAGAATCGTATAGAATGCAAGAATATTTGTCTTATTAAGCTTGGTATTGCATGAAACAAAACTCTTTAGTGTTATAGAGAAGAGCAATTGACTAATTCAGTTGTCTATATGCACTGAGTCACTCACCATCAAAGAATTCTGCATCACACATTTTCTATGTTCCAAACCCATAGGGATATAACAGTTAGACATAAAATAAGACTTGGGCAAAGCAGGTAATTAATTGTCATAGGAACAAGACTATTCAAACCAATTAATTAACTATAACTGCTAAACAAATGAATGGAGACTCTGGTTCACCTGATGTTTGCATGAGTGTCAGTATATCATTGTTTAAATAGGATGGTTTAGCCAGAAGAAGAACACATTCAGTATTTTTCAAACTGGAAGAACTTAAGAAAAATTCAAGGCTCAACTTGAAATACTGAAGGATCCTATGGGCAAAATATTGAATGATGCAGAAAGCATCAAAAGAAGATGGAAGGAATACACAGTCACTGTACCCAAAAGAAATGGATGACATTCAAATATTTCAAGAGGTAGCATATGATCAAGAGTTAATGATCCTGAAGGAAGAAGTCCAAGATGCACTGAAAGTGTTGGCAAAGAACAAGGATCTGGGAATTGATGGAATACACACTGAAACCTTTAGACAGATTGATGTGGCACTAGAGGCACTCAATCATATTTGTCAAGAAATTTGGAAGACAATCACCTAGCCAACTGACTGGAAGAGAGCTATATTTGTGCCCATTCCAAAGAGAGATGACTCAACGGAATGTGGAAATTACTGTACAACATCATTAATATCGCATGCAGCTATAATTTTGCTAAAGATAATTTACAAATGGTTGCAGCAGGACATTGGCAGGGAGCTGCCTGATGGTCAGCCCAGATTCAGAAGAGGATGTGGTAAGAGTCATATCATTGCTGATGTCAAATGAACCCTGTCTGAAAACAGAGCATACCAGAAAGATGTTTACCTGTGCTTTATTGACTATGCAAAGGCTTTCAACTGTGTGGATCTTGACAAACTATGGACAACATTGCAGAGAATGAGTATTCTGGAAGACTCAATTGTGCTCATGAGGGACCTGTACATAGACCAAGAGGCAGCTGTTCAAACAGAACAAGGGAACACTGAATGGTTTAAAGTTAGGAAAGATGTGCAACAGGTTTGTATTCTTTCATCATACTCATTCAATCGGTACGCTGAGCAAAGAATTTGAGAAGCTGAATTATGTGAAGAAGAACATAGCATAAGAATTGGAAGAAGACTCATTAACAACCTGTGATATGCAGATGATACACCTTGCTTGCTGAAAGCCAAGAGGACTTAAAATACTTACTGTTGAAGATCAAAGGCCACAGCCTTCTGTATGGGTTGTACCTCAATATAAAGAAAACAAAAGTCCTCACCAATGAACCAATGAATAACAAGTATATAAATAGAGAAAAGATTGAAGTTGTCTAAGATTCTATTTTTGCTTGGATCAACCATCAACACTCATGGAAGCAGCTGTCAAGAAGTCAAATGATGTATTAAATTAGGCAAATTTGCTGTACGTTCTTTAAAGTGTTCAAGAGCAACGATGTCAGTTTGAAAACTAAGGTGCGCCTGATCCAAGACATGGTATTTTCAATACGTATGTGAAAACTGGACAATGAATAAAGAAGACGTCAGAAATATTGATGCATTTGTATTATGGTGTTGGAGGATAATATTAAAGGTACCATGGACTGCCATAAGAACAAACCAATCTGCGTTGGAAAAAGTACAGCCAGAATGTTCCTTGGAAGCCAGGATTGTCAGACTTCGTCTCTCATACTTCGGACATATTATCAGGAGGGACTAGTCCCTGGAGAAGGACATCATGCTTGGGAAAGTGGAGGGTGAGCAACAAAGAATAAGACCCCCAACGAGATGGATTGGCACAGTGGCAGCAGCAGTGGGCTCAAATCTATCAATAGTTGTGAAGTTGGTGCAGGACTGGGCAGTTTTTCCATTCTGTTGTGTATAGGGTCACTCTGAGTCAGTACTGACTCAATGGCACCGAACAACAAAACAACAAGCCAATTTCCTGAAACTTTGCTATACCCAATATGAAGCCATCTTAACTTCAAGTCCTCATCTCACTACCTCTGAATGGATCCCAACGTTGACACATGTGCCACTTATTGGACCTATAGAACAAAATAACACTGGGTTTTTTTTGACTTGTGAAAGTGGTTGTCCCTTGACTAAGTTGCTAGTACTATTCCTTTAAGAGCTGCAAAACCATCTCCCAACTGTCTAAAACTTTATCCACATTTTTCTCACTCTAGGTTTCTGGATATTGGCCCTATCTGTCCCATTACTTGTAGCTGATGTCACATCTACAGATCAATCACCCTGTGAACCTAGAGGACCCCCAGGGCCTATGGGACCCATCGGTCCTGTAGGGCCACCTGGCATTCAAGGTGAATAATAAAATCCTTTCTCTCTCTCTAACAGCATTTCCTACCTTCTCTTTGATTGAAATACTCATAGATTCAGTGAAACCTAAGTGACTTGATGAACATATTGATCATAGAGGCAAGAGCGAAATGAGCTCTTTTGCTCAATTTTAAAGAGTCATCAGATTCATCTACTGTGACAGCTTCTGACTCTCAAGATATCTGAACATTAAAATCAGTTAGTTCTTGGGATACATTTGATGTACAGTACACGTTGAGGCCTACAACTACCACTCTGCTTGCCTGCTGTGTGTGTAGTGTAGAGCACTCACATTGCTATCACACCATGTACATGGAAAGGGAAGTTGACTTAGTGATGCTCCAGGTATATAGGTCAGCAGATATACTGTCATTTGGTTCTCTTGTCATCCTACTCAGAAGTGTGTTGGGCTAAGTGCATATGAAGAACCCATCAGTTCAGAACATCTGTTCTGAGTCTCTAAGGCAATGTTTTTTAACCTGGCTGAGCATCAAAACCAACCATGGATATACAAAAATTGAGCTCCTAGAATCCATCCAGAGATTTTGGTTCTAAAATTCCACAGGGTAATCTGTCCCTGAGTAATTGGGAAGTGAGGCCAAGGCATGGGAAGGTATACAGCTCCCCAGCTTGTTCTAATAAGCAGGCAGAACTGGGCATCACCACTCAAAGTTCCTATTAAGTCCTGGCATAATATGATCTCTGGATTTCTCTGGATAATTCCCTCCTAATAAACCCACTGCTACCAAGCTGACTCCGTATCATAGAAACCCTATAGAACAAAGGAGAATTGCTCCCATAGGATTTCCAGGACTATAAGTCTTTATGAAAGCAGACTGTTATATCTTTCTCTCATGGAGTGACTGATGGGTTCAAGATGGTGACCTTTGAGTTCACAGTTAAATGTTTGAACCATCTACACAACTAGACTCTTTTTCCTCTTAATTGTTGATATTGTTAAGTACTATTGAGCCTGTTCTGACTGAGAGCAACTCTGTGTAGTAGAGTTTCTGAGGAGTGGTTGGTGAATTTGAACCACTTACCTTGCTTTTGTCTCTCATACTTCAGACATATTGTCAGGAGGGACCAGTCGCTGGAGAAGGATATTATGTTTGGTAAGATGGAGGCTCAGAGAAAAAGAGGAAGACCCCCAATGAGATGGATTGGCCAAGTGGCAGCATTTGATGGACTCAAGCATGGCAACAGTAGTGAGGTTGGCCCAGGATCAGGCAGTGTTTCGTTCTGCTGTGCATAAGGTCGCTATGGGTCAGTACTGACTCAATGGCACCTAAAACAACAAAAACCTTGCCATTAGCAGTCTAGTGCTTATCCTACAGCGTTACACCAGGACTCCCCACTCTCAGTGGTGACAGTTAATTCTCAGCCTTATGGCACAAATGTAGCCAGACATGTGTAAAGACCAATTCCTGCATTTGTTCATTCAGTTATTCATTCATCAACTGAACATTACTTTTCTCATTGATACTGAGTTTATAAACAAAAATTGAGTTAACCCCTGGCTTCCAACCTAGGCAAACAGACAAGCCACATAAGGGATGATTACAGTTCTTTGTGGTAATTCTCTTTGATTATGGTAAAAGTAAATGACCAGACACAGTGTTCCAGGGCAAAGAGAGAGAACTTTTGCAAGTCTGAAGCAGATAGAGGAGATTGGAATAAGTGATGCTTAATCTGAATTATTGAAAGTGAGATGAAAAGGGCAAAAGGGCAAAGAGGAAGAAGAAATCCATGCATGTACTATGAAAAGCAAAAACTTGAAATCATTCTTCTTTTTGTTTGTCTAGGATTCCCAGGTATACCGGGACCAGTAGGACAGCGTGGTTTGCCTGGACCTATTATGAAGTGTCCACCTCCCCAATCTGCCTTTTCTGTAAAGTGGAGCGGGTCCCTTCCTGGGCCCTCCAAGCCCATAGTCTTCCAGAAAGCTCTGTACAACCATCCAGGCCACTTTGACCTGGCCACTGGAGTGTTCAACTGCATTGTCCCCGGTGTATACAACTTTGGCTTTGACATTGTACTGGTAGAGAATGCTGTCAGGGTGGCACTCATAAAGAATGGCATCCAGGTGAGAGACAAACAAGCAGAGGCTAAGAACAGCCATGAGCAAGTCTCAGGAAGCTGCATCTTGCAACTGGAGAAAGGAGACAAGGTCTGGCTGGAGTCTAAGCTGGAAAAAGCAGAATTTGAAAAAGGAACTACTCATTCTGTGTTCTATGGGTTCTTGCTCAGTGGAAATTCAAGCTGAACACAACAGCATGCTTGTCTTCCTCAAGTAGCTCTGAATTAAAGGTAGCCAGAGGGTGATGGTCAGAGTAGGGAATAAAGTTTCCTACTCCTCTCCTCTCCAATGTCTCCATTAGTACCACTAAATGATGAATCGTTCACAAAATTGAGAATGGCCTCATTGAGCAAAAGGAATATAATATTGATCACTAAAATCAATAAAGACTAGTTGCTCATTATTTGTCAACAGTTTCTTGTTTGCAATTCAACAAATTCAAGTATTTTTCCAGATCCCAGGTTGTAAATTTATGTAGGGGCAAAAAAAAAAAAAAAATCAAAGTTAGGTAGGAAGCTGCCCAACCAGTCTTCGATTGAGTACTCAGTCTTTTCTTAAGCAAGCAATTTAAATTTTTTCCTCCAAGAGACAAAAACTTCACTCAAACCCACTTTGAAAATTAAGGACATGGATATGGAAATGAGTATCTCAGGGAGAGAAACTAAATTTACATCAAGTCAGACCAAATGAGAATGCCTTATGTCAGACATTTCTCCAAAGCATAATTGGAAGGATGGTGATGTTGTTGTTGCCAAGTGTGGTCAAGTTGGTTCTGACTCACAGTGAACCTGTATAGGGTTTCCAAGGAGCAGCTGGTGAACTTGAACCATCGACTTTGCAGTTCAAACCAACCTTGCAGTCCAATGCATTAATCCACAGCACCACACCAGGACTCCAGATGGGTGGTGATGGCAAAGATCAAATCCACCAAACCAAACCTACTGTCATCACATCCCTTCTGACTTATAACCATCCTAGAGGACACGATAGAACTGCCCCATAGAGTTTCTCCTGGTGTGGCGCTGTAGAATCAGCACTGGACTGCGAACCACAAGGTCAGCAGTTCAAGCCCATCAGCTGTTCCTCAGAAACCCTATACAAGGTCGCTGAGTCGGAACCAACTCAATGGCACTTAACAACAACAACATAGCCTTTCTAGGCAGTAATCTTCATTAAAGCATACTGCCAGGTCTTTCTCCTGTGGAGTGACTAGTGGGTTTGAACAGCCTACCTTTTAGTTAACAGACAAGCTAACCACCACACCACCAGGACAACTTTAGCAATGTTGTGCATAGTTTGGCATGATCTACACAGTTGAAAACTTTTGCATCGTCAATAAAGCACAAGTAAACATCTTTCTTGTCTTCTCTACTTTCAGCTAAAATCCATCTGATGTCAGTAATGATATTCTGTTTCAAGTCCTCATCTGAATCCAACTTGAATGTCTGGCAGTTCTATGTTGATGTACTGTTGCAACTGCTTTTTAATTATTGCCAGAAAAATTTTACTTGTATGTGATATTAATTATATTGTTTGATGACTTCTGCATTCTCTTAGGTCACCTTTATTGAAATGGGCACAAAAATGGATCTCTTCCATTTGGTTGGCTAGGTAGCTGTCTTCCAAATATCTTGTAGACCAGCGACAGCCTCATGTGCTGCGTCAGTTTGTTGAGATTTCTTCAGTTTGTATTTTGTCAATTCCTATATCTTTCCCCCTGTCCCCAATGCCTTCAATGCAGCTTGAACTTCTTACTTCGGTACCATCGGTCCTTGATCATATGCTGCCTCCTGAAATGGCTGAACATCAACTATTGCTTTTTGGTATCGTAACTTCCATCTTCTTTAGATGCTTTCTGCATCAATCAATAATTTGTCCATGTTGTTGTTGTTGTTATGTGCCATGGAGTCGGTTCTGACTCATAGTGACTCTGCATAGGGTTTCTGAGGCTGTAAATCTTTATGGGAGCAGAAAGGCTCATCTTTCGCCCGTGGAACTGTTGATCTTGCAGCTTGCAGCCCGATTTGTAATGGCAACACTACCAGAGCTCCTTTGTCCATAGAGTCCTTCAGTATTTCAAGTCAAGACTTGAATTTTTATTTCAGTCTTTCAGCTTGAAGAATGTTGAACATGTTCTTCCCTTTTGGTTTCCTAACTCCAGGTCTTTGCACATGTCATTATAATACTTTGTCTTCTTGAGCTGCCCCTTGAAAATTTCTGATCAGATCTTTTACTTCTTTATTTCATCCATCCACTTTAGCTTTTCTACATTCAATAACAAGTTTCAGAGTTTCTTGTGACATCCATTTTGGTCTTTTCTATTTGAGTGAGATTTTGCTTTCTTCCAGTATGATATTGTTGATGTCATGCCACAACTCTAGAAGTCTCTGGTCATTAGTGTCTTATGCATCAATTCTGTTCTTGAGATGGTCTCTAAATTCAGGTGGGACATATTCAAGATCATGTTTTGACTTTCAAGGACTAGTTTTATTCAGTTTCAGTCTGATTTTGCATATGGACAATTGATGATCTGTTCCACAGTAGGTCCTTGACCTTGTTTTGGCTGATGACATTTCAGCTTCTCCATTGTCTCTTCCCACAGATGTAGTCATTGTAATTCCTGTGTGTTCCATATGATTGTTCTTGTTGTTAGGTGCCATTGAGTCAGTACCAACTCATAGCGACCCTGTGCACAGCAGAACAAAACACTGCCCGATCCTGGGCCAACCTCACTACTGTTGCCACGCTTGAGTCCATCAATGCTTCCACTTGGCCAATCCATCTTGTTGGGGGTCTTCTTCTTTTTCTCTGATCCTTCACCTTACCAAACATGATATCCTTCTCCAGCGACTGCTCCCTCCTGACATAAAATGTCCATTTTCAGCTCACTAGCCCCTAGGATAACAATGTTTTTATTTATTTATTTATTGTTTATTGTGAATTGAGTCAAGGTTTCAGAACAGATTATCAGTCCCACATTCAACCAATTATACAGTTCGTGTCATTACAATGATTGCAATCTACTCCATGCACCATAAGTTCGCAGTGTTTACCTCTATCCACTTTTATTTCCTTCCCCAACCTGCCACCCTCCCTGTATCCATCACAGAATGTTTCACTTAACAAGAAAATCTTTTACCTCTTTACAGCAGTGGTCTCATGCAATATTTGTCCTTTGGTGATTGATTAATTTCACTTATCACAATGTCCTCCAGGTTCATACATGTTGTGTGGTGTTTTACAGATTCTTTGATATTCTTCAACATTGCATAAAATTTCATTGTGTGTATGCACCAAAGTTTGTTTAATCATTCTTCTGTTGATGGGCATTTAGGCTTTCTCCATCTTCTTGCTATTGTAAATAGTGCTTCAGTGAACATAGTTGTACATGTATCTATTCAAATCACAGCTCATATTTGCTGAGGACACATACCAAGTCAAGGGATTTCTGGGTCATACAGTGTTTCTATTTCCAACTTTTTAATACAGCACCAGACAGTTTTCCACAGTGGTTACACCATTCTATCAATCTTTACGTGTTCCATTTAATTTTTAACAACATCCAATTTTTCTAGATTCTATATTTCACACTACAATTATTAATGTATTTTTGCAGCTTTTTCTCCTCATTTTGAGTTGTGCTCCATCAGACAGGGGAAAAGCTCAATATCATCAGCCAAAACAAGACCAGCGCCAACTGTGGAACATGCCACCAATTGCTCAGGTGCAAGTTCAGGCTAAAGCTGAAGAAAATTAAAGATGTCCATTAGAGTCAAAATATGACCGTCAACACATCCCAGCTGAATTTAGAGACCAT